TATTTTATATTTAGATCGAAATCATTAGATTTTTCAATTCTATTTAAATAACTACTACTAGTTTTGGTACTAGAATTTCCACTTTCAATATTACTTCAGATTTCTTTATTGAGGAGGTTTAGACAATCGAAGGTTGGAATCCATCTCCAGAATGGTTCATTTTGTTTGCAAGCGCAAGCATTTTGGATATGAACTTGTACAGGCATGTAAGTAAAGATATAGGCCGGTAGTCAGTGAAAACTAGAGGAAAGCTTTTCAATGAAATTATGATAATAAGTGTGTTGTTTGCTGCCCTATACATTTGAACGAGAGATTCATCCATGCTAATATTTGGAACTTCATGCATGGAAATTGTAATTTATCATGGAAAGAGGTGACCATGCCATGATATGATTAGACCACTACTATTCATATTTTCCCAATGTGAGTAGAGTAGGATATAAAATAAGTTTGGGGGAGGAAATTTTACATATGTGGTAGAATGAAAATAATTTTATTATTATGCTCAGATTTAGTTAAACCTTATAAGAATATTTTCTAATTGATAGTATAAGGAAAGAAGTTATTAACTCAATGTGAAGTCAAGATACAGTTTGAGTTGAAGTGTTTGATAATGAGTTAATATTAGATGTTAATCTTTTTTTTCTAGCATAAATTTCTCAAAATAATTGAAAAAGTGTCTATAAAACTAATTAATTAATCCATGGTGTTTTAAGTCAAAAATTTTATTCAAGCAATATAATTAACCTAATTTCTATTTGACTTATAGAATCACCAAGACTCACATAATGGGAGAATATAAATTTTTAACTTATGGAGTAATACAAAATCAGAATTCTTAAAAGAATCATGCTTAATATGATATAGTAATTCTCATAGAAAAGTGAAAAGCAAAGGAAAGGCAAAAGAAAAGAAGAAGTGAGTAGAAAATCATTCCAAATTAAAATTTGAAAGGAGAATGTGCTTAATGAAAAATCCAGGGGAGAAAAGCTTGAGTTTAAATATAAGAATAATCCCACTTCTATTTTCTAGCTACATCCTAAAATTAAAAGATTTAATTTCTTCCCTAATGAAATTTGGGTATCCTATAAATATAGGCAGAGTAAGGGTATAGTCTATTGCTTGAACAAGATTTGAGTTCTAAAGAACACTTGGCATAATGAAAAGGATTATGGTCACACTAGATCAAGTGGATTGAGAATATTTTTTTGTAGAGGGAAAAGATTAGAGAAAGGTATAAGATATTATCAATTTGCAAAAATTTCCACTAAATATGGAGTTCACAAGACTTTAACAACTTCTTACCACATGTAGCAAAAGACAAGGATACCCCTAAGAGAAGGTGAACTATTAATTTTACAAATTCTAAGCTTAGTGGTAGGATTATTTGAGTGCAAAAAATAGTTTTGTTTGGCAAATTTGATGTGAATGAAATCAATGATGAGATTCTTGCATGATTATTCTTGTTTTTGCATATTTATATTGATATTATGCATGATGAAGGTATTTATGTCTAATTTGTGCAGGTTAAATGTTGGATGCTTTTTGGAAATGAAAAAGGATAAATTAAAGAAAAAAAACAAATTTTGATTTAAGCATGCTTGGACTGGGCCAACACACCTGCGCCCAAAAGCTGATGCATATGATTTATTGACAATTGGGGATAAAGCACCCATGCTTTGTCATACACTTACGGTGCACCTGCACTAGAATTGCGGTGTGCCCATTTGCTGATTCAATTTTAGAAGGTAAATTTTTGCCATTATTATATGTATGCTCCTTGGGATGATTCTAGGGCATCTTGGGTGGCTTGAGGCTGCAAGTGGCGAGAGTTTTGGCGAGAGAGAATTCTTCCTTAGGGTAAGGACTATTTTTCCTTCTCTTTTCCTTTTTGTTTCTTATTTTTTCTGAGAGAATCTTGTATGAGAGAGATCTCTACTCCTATGGAGAACACAAGTCTTTCTTATAAGTTTTGCATTATTTTGCTTCTTGCAATAATGTTCTACATGGATTTCTTTTATGTGATTCTCCTCATTAAGTGTGGCTAAACCTCTTTTATATCTCCTTGAAGTAGGATTAGTAACTGTTTCATGATTTTTTGAGATGTTTTCCAGGTAGCATTTTAGGAGCTTTCACGTCTTTATGTTGTTGGTTAACCTTATAGATTTCAGTTACTTTTAGAGTAGCCAATTAGAATGTTAAAATGTCATAATTTATGACTTATGCCCGCCACAAAGTGGAATGATAGGTTAACCATAGAATCCCGGTAAAATAGGCATATTCTACTTAGAATTTTGTAACCTAGATAAGGCTCAAAAGATTCTTGGAAAATACCATGGGGTTAAGAGAAACTTAATTCATGGATTTCTGATTCTTCTTATGACCTTGGCAAAGATAGGCTTAAGAAGAAAACATATTTCTAGTTGAAAACTATCATATACAAAAATATTTAGGAAAACCATGACCTCTCATGATACCAGAGTCATAGAGGTACGAACCTCTTCTCTTTTCAGAAACAACCTACTTTCCTTTTTTGCTTTCTATGTTCATGATTTTTCTTTTTGTTTGTTATAAAAATTTTAAGAATTCAACCTTTTGTTTTGTTCATGCAAAGCAAGGCTTACTAATTTAGTAAACTAGAGTTTTTTCTATCAGAATATTTGTTAGTCTTTCTTCTTGAAATCGATGCTCAAACTCTAATACTGCATATTAATTGTCATGTATATTTGTGTAATTGACCTACTTGTCTTGCAGTATATATATGCATGTATGTATGTATGTATGTATGTATTTGCATGTAAATTTAGATGTGTATATGTGTACAAGTCCTATAGAATTAGCTTACATACATATATACAATGGAACATATTGATTGTATATATGTATGTAAAATGAATATGTAAAATGGAACATATTCATTATGTTCATGTTCATGTAGATTGATCATTGTTTAGTTTTAATTTGATATGATGTAAGATGTTGTATATGTATATGTAAAAAAAAACAATAAAAATGTATGATGCGTGTTATTGCATGTGTGTGTACTTTGCATATATGGCCATGTGGATGTGTGAGTATATGTTTGCATGATTTGATGATGCTTTTACTTCTCAGCATATTGGATGAATTCACTTATTTGTGAGTTAGGATGCATGGTTAGGAAGCTCCACTAGCTATGAATCTAGGTTAATCCCTTGTATTTGTGGTTAATGAATGTAAACTTTCTATGCTAAGAAAGAGAGAGAATTTGGTGATCTTAAAAGATTAAAGAGAATATTTTTGTATTTATAATTAAATTAAATTTTCCCTAAGATTACATATTATTTAAATATGAAATCACTTAACTAAATGTGCTATAAAAGATATACTTTTCAGTATATAAAACTCATATATATACTTTTCTACTTTAAATGAGTTTTAAAATTCTTAATTTTAATATTTAAAAAAATTTAAAGGATGTCTCTCATAACAATATCTTTCATGATTTTTAAAAATTAAAATCTAATAAATATCTTTTAAAAGTCTAAAGCTCCTTTCAAAAGTCCAAAATTCAAAACTTTTTAAAAAAAGAAAATTATTTCAAGCTCTTTTTAAAATTAAAGTTATTTTCAAAATTTAAAACCCTTTTCAACAGTAATATTAAAGTTCTTTTCAAAAGTTTGAAATCTATTCAAAAGTTAATTTTGTTTTTTAAATTAAAGATAAAAAATTTTCTCAAAATTCAGAAAACCTTTTCTCAAAATACAAAAAAAATTAAAATACCTTTCTTAAAAGGAACTTTTTGAAGATTTAAAAGCTTTTAAGAGACTTTTGAAAAATTCTAAGAAGAACTAAATAAGAATGATCTTTTTCAAAGAAACTTTCTCAATTCATTCTAAGCATAAGATAAAAGAATCTACAAGTTTTGTCAAGCTCTCTCAATTGCTTAGTCCAAGCAAAACTTATATTTTCCTTAGCACGAGTGTCCACCCAAATAATATGTTTCTCCCTTGTTGTCTTGGCTTATGAGTATGTAAGACATGGACCATTCAAAATCTAGATAATTCATATATAAGTAAACTAATATCACTCACATTTTTTGCATGAAAAAAAAAATACTTTTTCAAGAAATACCTTTTTGCATGAAAACTAAAATTTTTTTAGTGAGAAATATGAATGATTCTTAAGTACGAAGTTTTTGAAATTAAATGGTTTATGTTACATTGTTTTGAATATAAATTCTTAGACTACACATACTAAAAACCCTAGGAATGAGGAATAAAAACACTTATGATAGAAAACTGAATTTTTCCTCCTAGAAGATTTGTGATTTTTGGACACCAACCGAGACCCTAGGAAAATTGAAACTAAAAACT